GAGGGGGCAGCGGGCGTGGGGAGGCACTTTTCCTCTGCCCGGCAGCTCTGCGGGACCCCAGTCGGAGCCGGCCCGAGGAGGAGGAGGATCCTAGGACCCAGGTGAGCGAGCCCCGGGAATGCTGCTGCGCATGTGCGGGAGTTGCCTCACCCTGTTCGTATCTAGGGATCCGACGTAAGTCGGATCCACGTAAGTCGGGGACAGCCTGTACTGTAGGAACCAAATGGGTTCATTGTACTAGATGTATCACATAGGCTAAATGCTCCTGACTCTATGGTTTAATATGCAGACAGGATTTGCTAAATTACAATGTGAGACAGCATTGTATTAGTAACAACAAAAACACGACATGTTAAAAAAGTATTAGTTTAAATATAACTATTCCTGATGAGCTGTTTGAAACAAATTGCTGATCCTAATGATTTCAATATTTCCAGAATTTAAGGATATTGTGAAGGACAAAAGTATAACCGGGTTCAAAAAAGAACAGATAAGTTCAGAAGACAGAATATCTGGCTAGATGGACTATTGTTCTGACCTAGTATGACCATTCTTTTAGTATACAGAATATCAAGGAATGTAAGTAGAATGGAGTTTCCCTTTCAAGTTCTGAATCATTGACCTTTTCATCACTGCAGATTATCAGTATAGCTTGTGACTGAAGAAAATGTTGCTATGTAGATGATAACTTGTTCAGCTAATGTAATAAAAAGGTAAAAGTCTTAAAACCACAAAGTTTACATTTTTGAGTTAATATCTTGTGCATTTTTACATATTGCCATCTGTGGCATAGTGGGGGTGCTGTCTGCTCTGTGACCCGGGGTCTCCCTGTGCTATGATGGGAGATTCTCACTGACTCTCCCAAATGTGTATTAACCAAGACACCCAGGGAGGGAGACAAAGGGAGGAGGGCCGAGACCAACACCTGGCTGAGGGGCAGGGCTGGAAGAGAGGTTTTAGTTTCTGTTTGGTATCGTGGAGGAAGCAGCCTAAGCAACCAGCTGGGATTTAGGGGCCCAGCCTCCCCCAACTCAAGGGGGGGGAGGAGGCGCTAAGGCATCCCTAGGCCTGCCCTGTAACCAGATTAAATCTATGATGTGCTGTATCCTGGAGAAGCAATAAACTCCCTCTATTCTACTGGCTGGTGGAGTCTGTTCGTGCCATTATGGGGGTGCAGGAACCGGGGGAACCTCAACGCGCTGCCACACCATCTTTTAAAAAGAGCTGATTAGAAAGTATGTCCAATTTTAAAAGTCTGATTTTGAAAAAAGGGTTGCTCACTTAGTGTAGTAACTGAGGGTATGTCTACACTACCCCGCTAGTTCGAACTAGCGGGGTAATGTATGCATACCGCACTTGCTAATGAAGCCCGGGATTTGAATTTCCCGGGCTTCATTAGCATAAGCGGGGAGCCGCCATTTTTAAATCCCCGCTGCTTCGACCCCCGTGCAGCGCGGCTACACGGGGCTCGAACTAGGTAGTTCGGACTAGGGGGCCTATTCCGAACTACCGGTACACCCCGTTTCACGAGGAGTAACGGTAGTTCGGAATAGGCCCCCTAGTCCGAACTACCTAGTTCGAGCCCCGTGTAGCCGCGCTGCACGGGGGTCGAAGCAGCGGGGATTTAAAAATGGCGGCTCCCCGCTTATGCTAATGAAGCCCGGGATTTGAATTTCCCGGGCTTCATTAGCAAGTGCGGTATGCATACATTACCCTCCTAGTTCGAACTAGGAGGGTAGTGTTGACATACCCTGAGGTTCTTCAAAATGATTGTCCCTTTGAGTGCTTCTCTTCATGTGTCTTGGTGCCTTGAGCTCATTGTCAGAGATTTGTAGCAGCAGTATCCTGAGAGATGGCACATGACCAGCTTCTCATGCTGCTACAACCAGCTAGCTGGTACTCATCTCCAACCACCCCTCCGTTCCTTTTCTACCACAGAAAAATAGTGTGTGACTCCAAAACAGAGGGAAGGGGAATAGTGGAGCTCCTCACAGGGACAACCTTTTCAAAGACCCTCAGTCACTGCACAAAGTGAGTAACCCTGTCGTCTTTGAGATGTCCCTGTTGGTGCTCCACTTTAGATAGCTATGGAGCAGTGCCTCCATATATAAGGAGGGACTCTGGAATTTATCATTCAACAGTAGGGAGTACAGAATGGCTGAACTGTATCTGCTAAGTACTATTTTTCTAGGGCATAGTTTTTTGGTGAATGTTTGCACTGAAGCCCATGAAACTGTCTATGATTGGAATGTTGTGGAGAAATGACAGAAAGGTATATACCGCTTTGGTGGAATGAATGTGCACAAAGGGAGGAGCTGGAATTTTGTTCCGATTGTAGCAAAGATGGGCACATAGCAATATCCACTTGGATAATCTATGATTTGCAATGGGATCTCCTTTGGAATGTTCAGTGGTGGAGAGGATAAGGTGAGGTGATTTTTAAATGGTTCTGTCCTTTCAAAGTAAAAGCAAGGGCTCAGGGGATATTGAGGGTTTGTAGGGAGGAGTTGTTGGCCTCAGGTAAAAGCTAGGTAAGTATGTAAACTGATTCAAGTGAAAAAAATACAACTTTGGGAGAAATTTCTGATTGTGGTCTGAGGATAACTATCTTTTTGGAAAATTATATATGGTGACTCAGCCACTAAAGTGGCTATTTTACTCACCCTCCTGGCAGTGGTAATTGCAATGAAGAAGGAGCATATTGTTTGAAGTTCAAAAGGCCTGCCACCTTTGAGTGTGCAGAGGACCAAAGGTCCCATAGCAGAATAGGTTGTTTTAGTGTGAGTGGGGGAAGGAAGGGAGATATTATTCAGCTTTTTTAAGAAGTGATGATGGGCGATCATTCGTTGCTGATTACGATCATCTTCCAGGGGAATTGTGGATCAAGTGGCTGATAAGGCCAATCCTTGAACCACACGTTCAAAAAAATCTGCAAGACGACTGAATCACACACCCACTGCCTATGTGTTGGTCTATGACTAAGAATTCCTGTATATCACTTTTCCCATTGCTATTTGCCATCACACTTTTGACTTGTGTAAGTGTTGTTTTCCCAGAAACTAGAAGATGCCTATGCAAGACTTCTTTTAAAGTGGGGAGACTGGTGTACAACAGTAACCACACTGTCCTTGGCAGATAGAGGGCTTGAAACGAATAGCATGGACACCATGACAATTGGAGATCCTCTATCTGCTACAGCCTTCACAGCCATTGTAACATTACATAACAGTTTCACATCCATTGTGCAGTTATCCTCTATCTGTTCTGCCATTCAGGATTTCTTGGATCACACTTTGTCTGGAACCTCGCCCTAGGTCTTCCTCCCATCCTGTACCTGACTCCGACTCCACGCAGTGTTGCTCTCGGCCATCACTGGAACATGTAAGCCTCTCCACCACTACAAATTGATGATATATGGAGAGGTTTTCAGAAGTATTTAGTAGTAGGATATACAAAGATAGTGTTTCTGTACATCTTATTGTGTCTCATGGTGATTGCGGTAGATGCACTCTAAGGGCAGGGCTACGCTGTTTCTTGAGACCCAATATGTAGTTTAGGATTCTAAGCAAGAATTCAGAATGTGGCAACAGATATTGTGTTGCTCACAAGTTGTAAAAGGTCTTACATATGCTGTTTGCAACTGCTGATAAGTATAGTTTTGATTTCCTCTGAACAATGTTGATCCATGTGGTTCACCAAGGAGCTGCTATGATCTGAGTTGAAGAAGAATGATGTCCAGATGGAGGAACCTTCCTGAGTCCTGAGTCAGAAGGCGAGGAATTTTTAAGAGGGAAAAAAGGAGATGTCACCATCATTCGATCAAGATAAGGAAACCACATCTGCCTTGGTCACATAGATGCAATCAGTGTAATATGGGCCCCGTCTCATTTGATTTTCTGTAGTACATGACTTATTAGTGGAATTGAAGGGAAAGTGTATATGAGAGGTGAGGCCCATTTGATAAGGAGGACATTCCCCAGTGAGTCCACAGTCCAGCCCTGGAACAATAATTGGGGCACATTTGAACTGGATGCTGTGGCAAACTGGTCTATTGTTGGGTACCCCCAACATTGGAATATGGTGGCAGGTATGTGGGGATCCATTTCCCATTCATTACTGAGGGGAAAATGCCTACTTAGATGTTCTACAATAGCATTTTGTTGGCCAGGAAAGTAAATTAGTGAAATGTCTATGTGATGGGTTATGAATCATTGGCATAACTGGATAGATTCCGTGCATAGAAGATAAGAGCATACTCTACACTGTTGGTTTATGTAAAATATTAATGCCGTGTTGTCTGTAATTACCTTGATTGCTTTATTGCTGATAACTGGGAGGAAGTATTCACAACTCCATCTGACCACGTGGAGCTTTACAACGTTGATGTGTAATGAGGTTTCCTCTAGTGACCAAAGGTGTGAGTGGCAATATGTGCCTCCATCCTTCTACAGAGGCATGATTGTGGAACCTCTAGACATATGTTTTGAGGTTAAAGGCATCACTGAAGATACATTGCTGAGATACATTGTAGAGAGTGTTTGTGGAGGCATGCAACAAGTGTGAGGCCATCTTTGGAAGCATTGCTTATGTAGCCTGATGTGTTTGACTACAAATATGATAGCTGCCATGTATCTGAGAAGTTTCAGGCATTGTCTGACTGACACTTGGGTGCTGCCAATAATGGTTGTTATGAGTGCAGTTAAGGCATCAAAACAGTGATGAGGTAGTTTTGCCTGAGCTTGCAGGCACTCTACATGGGCCCCTATAAATTCCAGTTGTTGTATAAGGTCTGACTTTTGGTCATTTATCTGGAAGCCTACTGTGGTGAGCATCTTTATTGTATGGTTGGTGTCTTGTAATGCCATTTGAAAAATGGGGCAGTTATGACGCAATCATCTAGGCAGTGGATATCTTCATCCAATTCCCTGATTTATGGAGGTGAGCTGCAGCTACCGCCAAAACTTTTGAGAGCACCCTTAGAGCCATGGGTAGGCTGAAAAGTGATGCCCAGTACTGACAGTTTGGGTTTCACAGGGTGAAGTGTAGCAATCTCTTGTGTTCAGTGTGGATTGTGATGTGGAAATATGCACCCCGAAGGCTGAGAGACAACAGCCAATCTCCCTTTTGTAATGCTGGAATTATAGTTGTCAATGTTACCATTTTGAAGTATTGTTTTATTACGAACTTGTTGAGCTGCTGTGAGTCCAGGATAGGCTTCCATCCCCTGCTCAATTTTTGGAGTAAGAAAATGGAGATGGAACTTCTTTTACTGCCCCTAGGTGTAGTGGATGATCTATCTCCTCTTGTAACAAGGTCTCAAAGGGAAAGTCCCCAAAGTGAAGTTTTACAGGCAGGGTAGTAAGGCAAGAGGCAATTTGTAAAGAGGTTGTGCTTTGGTTGGCATTCCAGTACAGGGAGAGTTGAACCCTCAATTAACATCTCAAAATGATTGCTGTGACATCAAAGGTAGGGCACTTCAGGCTAGTCCTATGTCTGATGCCAGAGTGGCTGTTTCTGTCTTTGGTGCCGATCATAAACATGTTGTGGTTATGAGTAAGGTGCATAATGGAAGAGCTGGGTATAAAAGCAGACCTGGTGGTTCTTAGGTTATGGGTCATACATGCCCAAAATTTTTATAGTAGTATGAGAGTCCAGAGAGGTACTAGTTCTGAGAATAGTTCTGCCTCTCAAAATTGCAGATCCTCAACTGTGTTTTGTATTTCTTTAGGAAATCTCCACTCCTGCTATACATGCAAATAGACGGTTCCTGTCTGTTACTGTAACTGCTGATTTGGAGAGCAAAAGGGAATATTAACATTTAGATGAATCTTGTGTGAGATAATGTCATTGTCAAGATGTCTCTTTAAAGTTTGTCAAACTACTTAATAAATAAAATTACGTTATGTTAATTACCTGATTTTTAATTATCATGAGGTTACATCAAAAGATGACTCTTCTCCGATACCAAGAGGCTGTTCCAAATTTATAAAGGCTCTTGGGAACTGATCCTTTTGGTCCCATATCTGCTTGGATGCTCACTGGGAAAGCTGTGAGCCATAAGAAATGAGATCTCAGGATATTCTGGTACCCGTTTAATGAACACTGACTTAGGATCCCAGATCTGCTTGAGGTTTTAGAAGAAGGAAATGTAATCCATAAAGATAGAATTTATAGTAATCTAGAATCACCTTGAATATGGATTTTGGTCTATAACTATAGATTAAATTCTGAAAGAACAATTTATAACTTCCAGATCACCACCTCTAATATATACCTGAATATCAAGAATTGAACTCATTTCTGTATGTATACTGATCTTCCAATACTTTTTAAAAAATAAATCTTAGTATATTTATTAAGAATTGGCTATAAGAGTAAATTTGGGATAAGGTCAGAAATATTCACTGACTTGGCAAGTAATATATATGATCCTTTGGGACTGATAGAACTTTATTTGACTAGAGTATCTTGGTGGGAGCCAAGGGCTGGGTTCTTTAAGGGAACTGTGTGGTTTGGATTTCTGGTTGACCAAAAAGGTAATACAGAAGCTGTTCTGTGCTGGCTTGGTAAGTATAGATACTGGAATAATCGCCAGCTTTGGAGGATTGGCCGTCCCATTTCTTGCAGTGCATCCTAATTGAGTGACCGCAGCTGGCTCACCTGGGATTCCGTGTATCACAGTTTCCTTCTGGGGCTTCCTCTATTTCCACTGACTCATCGTGGTGAAATTCAGACAGAGGTGGGGCAGATGGTGAAAGTAGCTGGGTGGCTAAGTGCATTGTTGGGGGTCTGGAGTGTGCAGGATGTTGGGCTCTATAAAGAGCCCAGGGATCCTAGCCAGGCCATGTAGTGAGTATTAGCACTGGTGGCATCCAGGGAAATGGTTTCCAGACATGCCCTGGTATCATCAGTGGTATAGTTGTCAAGTATGTTTAGGAGAGAAATGATGAGGTGTTTAGCTAGTTAATTCCTCCTCCTCTTCTTCAACACCTGAGAATGGAGGAACAGAACTGACTGGAATCATAAACCCACTCAGCTCTGGATGGATGAGGGTACTATTGGTACTGAAGAGCAGAGTTCCAAGTACTGAAGTAATAGCTAGGTCTATGTGGATTGTGAGTGGCTGTGGGCACTGTGAAACTCTGTGCCCTAGTCTGTACAGGAGGAGTTAGAGGTAGAGCTGGCAGCATGCAAAGCTGTATCTGGATACTAGTGGTGTGGATATGGAGGCTGACATGACTTTCAACAAGTACTGCCAGTTCTGAGCTGGAAGGTTTAGCCTTAGTTTGTACGATGGAGATAGGGAGTCACTGTACTGGTGTCTTTGTTCCTCGGCATCCATACTGGATGTGTCTAGTACTTCTCAATCTGATGGTGGGTGGTGCTGTTTGTTCCAGGGAAGATTTTTTGCTCTCCTTGAGATGAGGAGTGCAGACTATGTTTGGTCACCTTTTCAAGAGCAGGATCCTTCAAAGTGAGCAGAGGAGACCTCTAATCTGAAGCTGTTGCTGAGGATCATTGATGAGGTAGAGTCTGAAACTATGAGTTCAAAGATGGCCTGGGTGATTTCTCTGTTAAGAAATGCTGGCCTTCAGAGACAGGGCTGATAACTTTTTACAGTGGGGGAAATTTTGTGTGATATGCATCTTCCCCAAACAGCAGATACATTTGGCACGGCCATCCAAAACAGGGTTTGAGAGCCGGTGGGGTGAGGTAGCATTTAAATTCAGGGGATCCTGGCACATTAGAATGCCTCATTTTGAAGCTGGGAACGACTGAGGGGGGAAAGAGAGAGGTTGGGGATTTCTTTTTTCAAAAGAGATTACTGAAAAAGTATCGAGGGTACTGCTGCTACAAATCTCTGACTATAAGTGCAAGGTGCCAAGATACTTAAAGGAGAGCACCCACAGGGACACTCTTCAAAGAAGAGCTGGGAAATTTTAACACTCTTGTGCTAAAAGTAAAACTCAAAATGAAAATTATTTTTCACTTTGGGCAGATCTTCAGCCGGCGTACACTGTCCTGTAAGAGTTAATAGTCTTATGACAATTTACACCATCTGAGGATTACGTCAGCTGTCCCATTCATTTTTAAATGTTCAAAAGATCTTACATAATGGAGTTTAAACTTGTACTAGGTTTACTTTCATAATTCAAAAGATATTCATTTATAACTATATCTTCGGGCTTTTATAGAAGCTAGAGACTGGCAAAATTCACCCTTCCTTCCTGGTCATTACAGTATGACACTATACATGTGTTAAGAATTGGTACAAGATAGCTTGCTTACTTAAGTGACCTGTCAAAGCTAAAGAATAACAATGAAGCAAATTAGTTGATTAGTTACTTACTGCCGTATTGGCAGACATGCATGCTGAAGTTATCCAAGCATCATCGAATGCCAACTGACAAACCAACAATTAGAGCAATTATGGCAACCAACACCAACGATATAATGACAATTATCCATTTTTTCTGTCAAAGAAAAGCAAGGTGATTAGTTTCAGAACATGCTGTTAAATAGGAACTGAATTTATCCTTGAACTTTAGAAATGAATACCATCTTTTTTAGTACCATCTTAACTTTTGAAGCCTGAAATGGTCCTGACCATCATCTCTGACTTCGCTTGTTTTCTTGAAAGGATCTCTAATCTACTGCAGCTAGAGTTCATTGCAAATATCAGTTGTTTGTTTTTTTCCAACATTCACAAGGAAATATTTGGGCTCCGATATCTGATATTTACCTCACTTTAAATGTATAATAGTTCCCAAAACTTTTTTTTTTTAAAATGTGTGTATGTGTAGGATACAGGGACAGAAAATATATACACTTCAAAAATATTGTATAACCTTCTTTTAGAACAGAAGATTTATAAAAAAAATACAATTCTATGATTTCTATTTAGCCTGCACCCCTCCTGCACCCAAACTCCATGCCAGGAATTTAAAGAAAAATATTGTTTTCATCTTACTCCCCTCTCCCTCAATGCATTACATAATTCAAAATTCCACTGCCATTTAAAAAAAACAAATATAATGCAGATGCTAGACTACAAAAGGGAAGGTTATGCACCTTGTCCAGTAACTAGAGTTCTTTGAGATGTGTCCCCATGTGTGCTCCACTTAGGTGCGTCAGTGCAACTGTGCACACGGCCCGGAGATCTTTGCTAGCAGTCCCCCGGCTACATGCACATGCTGCGCTATTGCGCAATCACCCTGACTATATGCCAGCAGCCATTCCCTCAGTTCCTTCTCTACACTGGACTCAGTTAGCCCAGCGCAGAAGGGAGGTGGGTGGTTGTGAGCACTCATGGGGACACATTTTGAAGAACTCCAGTTACTGCACAAAGTGAATAACCTTCCTTTCTTAGGCTACGTCTAGACTACATGCCTCTGGAGACAGAGGCATGCAGATGAGGCTACCAGGCATAGGAAAATGAAGCAGCGATTTAAATAATTGCCGCTTCATTTAAATTTACATGGCTGCTGCGCTGAGCGGATCAGCTGTTTGTCAGCTCAGCGCGGTAGTCTGGACACGTGGGTGTCGACATCAAAGGCATTTGTCGACCACCCAGGTATGCCTCCTGGAATGAGGTTTACCTGGGTGATCGACAAATACCTTTGATGTCAACACCCGCGCGTCCAGACTACCGCCTCGTGCCCCGCAACACCCACATGTGGCCAGCC